AATTTCTGCTGCGGCTTCATGTTCACAAAGGCCCACTTGCCGGTCATCTCTTCGAATCCCCTCTCCACCGTTACGCGGCAGTGGCTCATACGCTTGTTGAAGTCGGCCATCTCTGGCGTTAGAGGGCCGACACTTGACGCGCTAAAAGGACAGACAAGGTGGTTGCTCAGTCCATACGCCGGATCTCCGCACAAACAGTACGGATGGCCTGCAGGGTTGCTTAGCATCGACAACTTCTCCATCAACCCAGACTGAATAAAGCTGTCATGACGTGTCCCCGCCACGGGGCCCCACAGATCCACAAATAGCCCGTCTGGTGTAATTACCCCTTGGAACTTCATGGCCTGCTTCCTCTTGTGCCCATTGTAGAACATTCGCTGCCAATACTTGGGCCTGCGAGTCAGTTTTGGGCGTACGGAAGGATGGGCCACCAACAACACAGGTCAAGACATACACCCAACAGAGCAGTGCTGCTGTATTTCATCGTTCTGCTAAAACTTCATCGCATGTTGCAACCTCGTGGTAAATCGCAATCAGCTATGTGCACGCGCAACCACACGACAGTTCCACACAGATGAACATATGGTCTAGTGAGTGCGTCGCAAAACTCGAGGAACGTACAAGATGGCCTGCTGATGCTGCGTTGGATACGCGGCGGGAAAAGCAATCCGCGGAGAGAATCACGCAACTACTGTCTGCGGTATGTACCAAAATGCCAGAATCCGTTGAGTCGGACTTCACCTTGCAATGCCACGCACGGTGCCATCGATAAATCCCCAACAGTGAGTGAGAGGACAGCCGGAGTTGAAGATTGCTTCCGCAAACTCGATCAGGTGCGGCTGCAGGCGTGCCACGTCGAGGGACAGCAGATACCCCCACCTGAAGTCTAGAAAATGCAGCATCCAGTTGAAGGCTTCGCAGATACACGATTCGCTCATCCCGAAAACCAAGCGCATGTCCTTCAGGCGGCATGGGAAAGCGAGCTGATACAGGAGCACGCACAGAGCCTCACGTCCGCTTACCACGAACCCACAGTCAGTTCGGATGAACGCGGGGATCAACAGCAGATCCAGCATCAGCATAACCTGCATCACGTGACACCACACAGGAAAGCAAAGAACGATGTGTTACTTGTTATTCCAGTGCACACCACCTCTCCGTTGGCTTGTGGATCTAACATAGCACAGTGGCTTGACGCACCCAGAACGGCTAACCCCCCGCGACCCACGGGATGCTGACATATCTACTGCTGCTGCTGTTGAACGACATACTGACACCCTGCTGCTGCTGCTGCTGATAGCCGGAGTACACATGTCCAAGCCACAGCAACGATACCTTTTAGCTGCGACATGCACTCACTTGCGATTGCGTGAAACGTAGAAAGTTGACGCAGTCCTGTGGGCTGAAGAATGCTGTCGCGTCCCTACGTGCGATACTCGTGGGCGTGT